GCATGATGAAAAAATATTGCATTGAATAAATTCAGAATCGACAAGATATTCGTCCGAACCCGTGCATTGCACGGGTAGGAATACTAGTGTGTGTGTGTATATATATATATATATATATATATATATATATATATATATATATATATATATATATATATATATATATATATATATATATATATATATATATATATATATATATATCAGTCCCAACATTTGAGTAATGCAACCATGAGTAATGCCTATCATGACATCTGAAAATCTATTCAAGTACAGAGTATTTATTTATATCAGATTCTTGTTGGATTGAAGGATGGCCACATTCTATTCTCGTGTAAATCGTTGGTGGTTCATTTATCAAATCATATTATAAGGAATTCTTATACCTAAATTCCAAAAATTAAAAATTCAAGTAAAATTTTAACACATCACTTTGTCCAAAATTTCAATGATTCGTATCTCAACCCCAGCCATGGGCTCTGCCCCTTGGACCCTATAAAGGCAGTCGCCCCTTGAACCCTGCTCGGAGTGCTGCCCCCGAACCCCAGTCAAGGGGGTGCTCCCCCGAACCCTCGCCAAGGGGCGCTGCCCCCTTGGAACCCCGTTAGAATAAGACTTTATCATAACAAACTCAACAACGCGTGCACTCTACACCACCAAACTTCTTTGATGATTATTATGATACTATTGGTCAAATAATTATTCCAATTAGACTAAAATATATAATAGAAATTGGGATTGGTTTCTTTTAAAAGTTAAGCAAGCTTTGAATCATCGCCATGTACAACACATTAACTTTGATCAGCATAAATAATAAGAGTAAATTCTTTAAATAGTCCTTTATAAATGGGGGGTTTCCATATTTAGTTCATATTTATCAAATATTATGTAGACAGTACTTATTAATTGGATATCGTTCCACGTTTAGTCCTCCGTTTATTTTTCTCTCTCTATTCCGTTAGATATGGACCAAACGTGGAATGAAACCCAATCAACAAGGACCACAAAAATAATATTTGATAATAAAGACTAAATATGGATACTACCCTGTTATAAAGGACTATTTGGAAATTTACTTTTTTAAAACCATTTTTAATATTGAAAGTACTACCTCCGTCTTTGAGTATTTTGTCCAAATTTTGATTTTTTGCAGTCAATCATTTTCAACATTTGACATATAATTAAATAAAATATATATGATATGTTTATTAAATAAAATTAGATTTAAAAAATATTTTATGAAATATATCCAATAAAATTATTTTTGTATCTATATGTAATATTAATTTTATTTAATTCGTGGTCAAAGATTACCAATTTTGACCAAAACTCAAAAGTGGACTAATACTCAGGGACGGGGCAGTAATAAATATGAAAAGTATATGATTGTAGTTTGTATATAAAAAGTCAAAATTATCATTAAAGATAATTTACCAAATTTTTTTTAATATGAGAATTATCTTGGAAGATATAGAAATTAATAAGTAATCTAAAATCACCCAAAATAGAAGTAAATATAACATCTATCCTCAAAATAAGAATTTCATGTTTTTTCCTCAAAATATGAGTTTGCATTGTGACATAACAACATTGTATAGTGGTATTATATATTGGCATTATTAGCAATATACTATTATTTTGGAAATAAAAATTTGAAGCTCTTATGTAATCAAAATATATAATAACTTCGAATTTCTTTTCAATTCCTATGAATTTCAAACAGATTCTCGTATTAAAAATGAACTTTTTGATAAACTATTTTTTGTGGTGTACAAATTTTGATTTTTTATAAATAAACTACAATTATACATTTTTCCTATCTATTAATATTTATATTAAAAGTGGTTTAAAAATATCAAATTCTCCAAACACTACTACAAAAACGATCAAATAAATCCCCCAATTTGCATCGGTAAGCAAAACAAACGATGTAAATGAAAAAAAATTCGCTTACCACTTAGCTTTTGGATTGATTATTTCTAATAACCGATTTGAGTTTTAGTTTTTGTGTAAATTATACTTTTATTTGAGTTTTAGTTTTTGTGTGTGAACATAAAAGTATTCAAAAAGATTCGAAATACTCCTTTGTTGTCGTTCATTTTTTAGTTTATGAAATATAAATTAAGTTTTGATACGCATCTCTTCCATTTAAATATTCATTGTTAAAAAAAATTTCATGTTTTTTTTATTTAAATTCACTTTTAATTTTCAAAAGCAAAGAGGCGTTGTTAAATTTTAAGGTGTAAAGTAGGTATGTATATTCATCCCGATTTGTACCGAAACCGATACCGAACCATACCGAACTGATATTTCGGGATCGAGATCGGTATGGAGTAAAATCTCATACCGAACCGAAATATTTGGTACGGTATCGGTACGAGCTAAATACCGTACTATGCTCACCCCTACCAGAATTGGCGCCGAATCTGGGCAGAGGCTTTTGCATCGGTTATTTGGTAATAACCGATGCAAATACATAAGCTTTTGCATCGGTTATTACCAAATAACCGATGCAAAAGCCTCTACCCAAATTCGGCGCCAATTCTGGGTAGAAGCTTTTGCATCGGTTATTACAACCGATGCAAAAAGTTATCTGAGCATTTGCATCGCTGGCTTTTGCATCGGTTAAAAACCGATTTTAAAAGGTCAAAATAACCGATTTAAAAAGTCTTTTTTGTAGTAGTGAAATAGTCCTTTATAACGGGGAAATTTCCATATTTAGTCCATATTATCAAATATTATTTTCGTGGTCCTTATTGATTGTGTAGCATTCCATGTTTGGTCCTTGTCTAACAGCACGGAGACAGAAAAAATAGACGGAGGACTAATCGTGGAATGATATCCAATTAATAAGGACTGTCTAGTTAATATTTGATAAATGTGAACTAAATATTGAAACCCCACACTTAAAAAGGACTGTTTAGAGAATTTACTCAAATAATAATGTATAATAAGAGCCGTAGAGTTTGTATCCCTAGAGGTGGGCATGGGTGAGGACACTTCGGGTTTTATACCATCTCGTATATATCTTGTCTAATTTTTTTCAAACGGTTCGGAATGGTTAATGCATGGAATGAAACAAAGTGAAATACTAATATGGTAGAATCTAAATATTTAAATATTTTTTTGAAATGCTATGTTATTGTATTGCCCGGGAGTATTTTCTTTTGAGTTGTTCTTAAATGGTCAAAGATTCACATATGAATTTCGATTTTTTCATACTTTTAATGGAGTGACAAATATTAATTTTTTTTATTAAAAAACCCAATTTTTTTTAATGAAATTGATACAATTTGATAATAATTTGTCTTATTGAATATTGAGAGATATGTTCCTATATATAGGGATTACAAGAGAGAGTCCTATTCCTAGTAGGAAAGGAATAAAGTAATTATGGTAATACAAGAATAAGGAAACTAAATAATATTAGGAGTCTTCCTATTATCCCCCCGCAAGCTGATCAACGGATACGAGGGGCAGCTTGGAACACAAATAATGGAACGGAGTCGGCGGAAGCGGTTTTGTCAAGATGTCAGCAAGCTGCTCAGAAGAAGGAACATGATGTGTAGTCATAGTGCCAGCCATAACCTCGTCTCGAACAAAGTGACAGTCAGAGCCAACATGCTTCATGCGATCATGGAGAACGGGATTCTTGGTGACACAGATTGTGGACTCATTATCACAATAAATCTTAGGTTTCGTAGGCGGAACATGCAGAGAATCCATAATATAACGAAGCCACATCGCCTCTGCCACCCC